AACCACGCAATGTTGAAATTGGGTATCTCCAAAATATAAAACAACTGGAGAGCGCTAGTCACATGAATAAAAGGAAATGAACCGCGGATCAAGCTTTTCAAAATGATGATGATTATCTCTACGGAATAGTTTCTACAGGTATGGTAAAGTTAATCTCTCATATATTTTCTGGCGTTACCATATCTTCGATTGATTATTATTTTTCTAGCTACGGAATGGCATTTTATTAAACTCGCTACGGAAGGGCTATATTGTACCAGCAAAAGCGAATATCGAATTAATTTATCCAAAACAGCATTGAAGGAGGATCTTGAATCAATCAGGAAGGGGGTTAAAACAGTAATTGGTTTAGTTGTGGGGTTATTAAGGGGTAGGATTACAATGTGTGATGAACATGAAATTAAAAAACGCCGTATTCAAAATAATAACAAATGATAGATTTTTTTTTAACTGTATTTTAATTATTTTTATCATGTATCTGTATGTCTTAAATTTTATTTGTAACAAGTCTGATCGTGACATTTTGTCACGGTTTTTTTACAACGGAATTCCGGCCGGTTATTCAAATTCGGTAAAATACTTGGACTGTTATGTTTTCCACGTGAGGATTTCTCATTGCAACGCGTGTGACGTTTCTTTTGATGACCAATAAAAAATCTGTTCGCGTTCAAAAATTTTTCACTGAACTTTAATTATGGAACACGAATATTTTAACCAAAATGAACCCGAAAAATGGAGTGTTCTCGAGTTCTTAAATGAATGCGACATAGAACCGTTTAGTTTAAAGATAGATTGTTATATCAAAAGCCTCGAAAAGATCTCTGACTCGGAACAAGGAAGCAGGAAAGAAAGTGCAAGAATCCTTCTCGATAGATACAAATTGGCAAGTAAAAATCTTTTATACCTTATTTAAAAGAAAAAGTGGCGTGAACGGGGGCTTACTGGGTTGCCGGTCATTCAAGGCTATTTGCTGAGCCACGAAACTGGTGCTGGCGCGCAGATGACTTAGTTATCTGATGCCAAAGGCTACTGGCTAATCCAGCACTGGACCCACTGGGCACAGGTGGCTTACTGGGTTGCGATGTGTTCCAGTGGGATGTAAAATTGATGTTGAATCGGGAGAATACTAATTTCAAGTTCCATACTAGGGTTCCCAAATTGATCGTAAAAAAGCAAAAGAATGGGAAAATAAGCGTTCGCATAGGCAAATAAACATCCACAAGTCAATAAACGGAAATGGAAATGTGATGGACGTCAGTAATTCCGAAGTATCAATCGCAGAACCGTCTTCGAAGAGGAGAGATCAAGAAGGAAAGGTATATGTGTTATTTATATATTATTACGTTATGATTTCATTCCTAATGAAGATTTTATCTTTAGGATGATGGTCGTACGTACAAGCGTCACAGGCTACAGACTCCGAATAATGAGGTAATCGTACATTGATTTAAACGGCCAGTGTTTAATATGAAAATTGCTTATACTTCCTATCTTCAACGTGTTTATCAGAATAATCCAAAAGAAAATGACACAGAAGCAATTAATACCGAACAAAATTTAAGAAAACAAGTTGAGGTAGGTTTCCATAAATGATTAATTATACATCCGAAAATATCTTTCTACCTGTTCTTTTATGACCTTCCTTAGGAAGAACTCGTGAGACGGTACAGTTTCAGAGAACAAAAAGAAATCAATTATAATGAAATTTCAGGCTCGGACATAGATCCATATCATGTAATTATTTTTGTTAGTTTTTCTTCGTAATAAAAAATATACAATTCTCATTATTTTTTTTTTTATTTTGTTTTGAAATCTATCAAGCATCAAGCATTTGAACGTGAATTCTTGCCCAACAACCTGGATCATTCGGTTGCATCATTAAATAGGCCAATCATAACGGAAACAACGTATAACCTAATCTCTACGCACATAATTTGCGCGTTCAACTCAACGTTACATTTGGTCAAGGAATCTGTTGAGGAAAGTTTATTTGAGAAGATCGAAAAGGTTCTTAAAACGAGGAACAAATTGATTTTAGATAGATCGATAATCCTGAAATTGGAGGCAATTTTTCAGACAGACTATGCAGAAATTAGCTCGAAAATAATAACAGAAACCAAAGTTGAAAAAAATATTAAAGAGAGTGAAGAATCACGATTTCTCTTTTTTATCCGGCACACTCTCCTAGATTTCATCGCGATGTATGAATATATGTCGCCTAAAGTGTTAGCTCGAGATATGTCTGAAAGGTCGTATATTGTGGAATGCCTTTCACCCATACTTCGATCTTTTAGGAATGCATTTCCCGAAATTAGATACGAGTGGATTGAGAAGGATGTCAAATCCATAAGGGACGCGAGCAATATGTTTGCAATTAACATAAGGACTCGGAAAACTGACTTGTTAGTTCTAAGACTATCGGACGCAACTGAAATTCTACACGTTGAAGTATCTGGACCACCATACAAACCAGAAAAGAAACATACAGTCGGAGACGCAAAAAAATTACTCATGATGGCTGTTTGTAATTTGTGCAGAGTATTGGCGAATAATTTCGATTGTCCAATTGAAATCGCTAAGAAAGTCAGATCGTACAGCATACAAGCAATTGGGGATAAATTGACATTATTTGCTGTATCACTTGTTGAGAAGAAAAAATATTTGGCAATCGAATTGGCTTCGTGCATAATTCCCTTTTCGCTTAAAACCATTGGATGCTACACAAAAATCTTTAATTTTTTCAAGATCATAAGGAACGAGTTTAAAGAACAAGAAAAACTTCTAGAAAAAATTTGTTCTTTTGTGCCCTGGGTCGATGATGATACCAGTGACCTACGAGAGTGGATACATTTACCGGATGATGATCTAATACCCGTAACGGAAGAGGAAATGGATGAACTCTCTTTAAATGTTACTTAATAAAATTAAAGAATAGACCAGTATGAAATTTTTTATTATATAATTGAATAGGAATCACATACTTTCTTTACATGTAAAAATTTATTTTCTTTGTTGCAAATCATTAACAATAAATCCATATTTTTAGTCTAATAGTTACATGTTGCGATTCTGATCATTATCTATGATAATAAATAACATTTGAATAATTCGCATTTGTATAAAAGTTATCATTAAAACATGCAATCCGAACTAGATTTGTTGAGACAAGAGAATGCCAGACTTATGGCTAGAATCACAGAACTGGAACAAACTGTGGGGGAAAAAGATGAGCTTATGGCTAGAATTGTGGAATTAGAGCAGTCTGCAAAGTCAAGTCAAACGGAAAATGTTAAGCTCAAGGCCGAAATTAAAGAATTGAAACAAGCTGTTAAGAATATTATGAATCACAAACGAACTGCTACTAATGATTTAAAGTCTCCGGCATGTTCCACTCCATTGTCCAACAATAGAGAAAATGTGCAGGTCGTAGATTCATTGAATCACCACGAAGCGGATCAATCCATGACTAGCACTGACTTAGTAACTTTAGACACTTCAGAACAGGTAGTTAACACAATTTCCGATGCATCTAACCTTAATGAAACTTGCTCCGGAAAATCCAAATCATTAGAAGATAAAGAAATTGATGTCTTTTTAGATTCGGAAAATAAGAAAAGGGTTAGTAATGAGATAAGGCAGAGGAATATGGAAAAAAAGCTATTACATAGTAATGAAGCTTCCGCTTCTCAGGATCAAGACCTATCTTTAGTTAATCAGGATGCTTCAACGGGATCTGAAAAGACAGTAAACTTATTATGTGATGCAAAAACCGTAACAAAATGTCACGATCTTAACAATTCTGATACTACCTCCGAAATACTTGAATCAGACAATCAAATCGTAGAAGGTTTAATACAAGAGATGATCTATGATCAAGCAGAAAATATTGTTTCTTCCGAAATCAATCCTTTATATTCAAATAATGATGAGGTAAATGCTACTGAAATCAATAAACTTTGTATACAGGATATGGCTCCGGATTCTGTGCAAAGTTTATCAGACTTATTTGATAAAGCAATTAAATCGGGTCAAAAACAAATTTTAAATTGGTATTATTATTCTTTAGAATTCGAAAATAAGGTTAAAAGCCTTATAGCGGATGGTAAGATTAAGGATAAAACAGCAAGATCAAAAATATATAAGGAAATGAAAGCTTTTCTACCTAATATTACAGATGTAAACTTGCGTAAGAAGACTGAAAGAGCTCGAAAAATTCTTAAGCTATTTGGGGAAGGAGGAGTAGGTACAGATAAGATCAAAAATATTACATATAGTGCAAGTACTATTTCGGGATTGAAAGATACCCAAATTCAACATATTATAAATCAAGTGATTTCAAAAACCGTGACAAAATGTCACGATCAGACTAATTCCAAAGTAAGTGAATCTATCCCTTCGTCTTATATCTCTAATTCTTCAGGTTCGGATAATTTGCCAAAAGCTGAGGTAAGTGTACCATTCACATCTCAAACTGAAACAAAGACGTTACCCGAGAAACAGACTCATGACCATGCTTACTTTCGTAATAAAATATTGTGGCAATATTCTGATCTATATAAAACATTTAGTAACAAAAAATTTGACTATTATGGAATTATTAAGGGATCATTATGTCCAATATGTAAACTAAATCATGAGGATGGGAAAAGTGTAAAAGGTAAATATGAAGCTGGATCCTACTTTATTATATGTGGAAAGCGTGAAATCGAAATAACAGCATAAGCCCACTAGCTCTACTAATAAAGATGATTATTTCTGCCAATTCGTTTCTCTCATTATTGGTGAGGCATATATATTCAAAAGTAGATAACTACACAAGCCAGTGATGAACAGTGATATTTTTTTTCTTTGACAGTTACGCTATTTTGAATTGACTTGTATTCTTATGAATGATAACATGTCTTCTAACACTATTTTACATGATTATTCGTCTAGCCACCCCATAATTGCCTCCGGCAAGATGTTAACTGATGACTACTATAAATGGTATGCCGAATTGGATGATTTATCAACTCCTTTGACTGATAAAATTCGTTTGATCTTATATAGAGCATATACGGAAGAAACTGGGCTTGATCCCTGGATAAACTCTGAAACTTCTGAATCTAAACAAATCAAAGAAGATGCAGATGATTATATGAGTCATGAATGTGTTATCAAAATTTCTAAATTTCCAGAAGATAAAGATATAATCCATGATGCAGTACATAAACGCTTCCCTTTCTTGACATATACCAATTCTAATGCATGGCATCGAGATGTATTTAAATATACTAACTTGAAAGCTAAATGTCCGATATGCAAAGATGTACATACGCGTTTAGGTATATGGGGTGACTGGAGCTATCTGGGTAAAAATGATCACTATTTTCTTAATTGCTCCTTTCGTATCGATCAAAAGAAAGTTATAATTGCTATATAGAGCTTACTGGAAACTCAGGTATCAAACAAAATCAGTAACTCACCAATTCATCCAAACAAAACCCACCTATATCAATATGCCATCGAACATGGAATGGATCCCAGTTATTACAGAGGCTGAGAAAAAAAGATGGACCATGGGATGCTTCCGTGGTGACCTGGAGAGAGATATGCGCTGTTATCAAGATGGAATAAAGAGGAAGGAAGACCCTAGAAAATATCATAAATTTTTAACAGATCGGGATAGGCTGATCGGTGAAGAATTATTACGTCGCGGTATACTAAAGAGCGGTTTAAGTACTACATGGCTTGATGATCTTATGGAAGAATGGGAAAAAACTTATAATCAATTCGTACAAATTTTTAACTAGACACAATGCATAAATCATTTCCCGCGATCACTTGGGAGTTGCACCAACGATCGGATTTGCACAATTATTTTTTTCGTGTAATGTATATATGATCGAGAATTTTTCCAGAATATATCTGCATCTTATATAACAATGACAAACATACAATCTAAAATCGATTTATTGATATAATTACTGCTAAGGGTGCATTACCGATATTAGCTATCAAGTATCGCATATCATATACACGAATTTAAGCACGAAGTGCCCTGCCCCGCAGTGAAATATGGCGACTTGTCACTGCAATAAATAATTGATTCGTTATCTGTGCTCACATGGGTTTGGGTTCCATGTCACATGTCACATGCATAACCACTGTGTGACTGCCTTCGGCAAATCATAGTTACGATCGGATTCACACTCAATTATTAACACGAATTAAAAATAACAAATAATTGCTTTATTAATGGGTATAGCCCATATCTGTAAAATTATTTTTTAACACACTATAAACTACAATGTAAAAGGCTAATCCGGTGGATAGAAGTATGGAGTAGAGAGCTAAGAGGGAGGAATAAGCCGGATCCTAGGCCCCTTTACATTGTAAAGAAATGGCTGTTCCTTTCCCTACCCCATACTGTCTACCCATCTACCTATTTCATTAACTGTGCTAGCTTTACAATCACTACTTCTATTATAAAAATTTTTAACCGTAGATTGTCTAATATTCCCTCCAAGTTCACGAATACGCACTGCTACGAAAAAACACATTTCATCAAAGGTGAATTTTTTTTCGACCGCGATCCTATCGAAGATTTCTTTAAAGCGGGAGAAAATTGCTAAGGTAATATCCGTGTATTGGATTCGTTCAGATCCTGCAATCAAGAATAATGATTAGTAAATTTTTCTCGTTATACATTTCACGCATCTCGGCTCGATCTGTACCTGAGGAATTTGGAGATGAGTGAGTAGAAGATGAAGAATGGGTGGAGGATGTTGAAGCCTCGCTTGGTTGATTGGACCCCCTCCTGTTCGTGCTCTGGGTAAGTGCATAGCGTTGATTATTCTCACTCTGGAGCGATACAATTCTTCTACCAATTGTTTCGAATTCAGTTGCAATTTGATTAAAATTATTATGGTAGGTTTCTAGAACCCGTTTGATTTCGTTATATTCCCCAGTTAGATTATTAATTGTGGAAATAATATTCTGCGCCTCCGTTACATAGTTAGCATCACGAGAATTGATTTCGGCTCTAATTCTGCTAATTTCTGCAATGAGATTTTACACGACATAGTACAAAAAGAAGCATGTTGCAACAATCCCAAAGCACAGAGGAACGTGTTTGGGGAATATCGTCACGAGGAAGAAAAACAAAGAAGCGGTTAATACCATATAAGGCATATTCTCCGAAATGTTGAATGAAGACATCTGCGTGAGAAAAGAAAATCCGATTAGAATATTAATCGTGGGGACGCACGGGCATTTAATCGCAAACGAAGATACCTATTACGGAGTAATGAAACTCTGTTTCTAATTCAAACAAAGCTAAGTAGAATAAAGTTTTATGCCGAGTTTGTTTTTACGAGACTTTATTAATTGTTCGTGATGCTTATTTTTTTTTTAATTTGCAGAAAAATTGGGACAACGAAAAAAATTCATCTTTTATAGGGATTTATGGATCATCATATATCACAATTTCAATATTATCGATTAGTATTTATTACACGCAAAGACTGGAACTTTCCAGAGACGATATAAGATAACTACGCTTGTAGAATGTTGGATGAGTCATTAAAACTAAAAATAAAACATGGCCTTTCAATACTTTATGTGTCTTTGACACTAGCCCGCTATTAAACGTCAAAATAAAGCGTATATGGATAAATGGGGTTTACAATATGAATGTATTGTTAAACGTTATCGGTGTTCATACTATATATTTATCTACACTGCATTTGTGATCAATTATACCGAAACAATGTTCATTCTACAAATTTATCCGGAGCAATGTTCATCCTATTTGTCATTCTGCCGTCATTAGCCCGTGCACGATTAATTTTGATCAATTAGTGCCACGTTAACCCCTTATGATCGACTCTGCATGCCACGTTAGGTCGTACGAAAACATTTCTTATCATCCCTACTGGTGCATTTTTTTTGGGTTGTGAAGATTGATTTTAGTCTGAAATATCGAGATAAATGCATATCTTTTATAGGCACGTATCGATCATCATTTATTTCACGTAAAGGCCAGAAGTTGTTAGAAAATTATATTGTGGAAAAAAATCTCCTCCAAAGTACTCGCTGTAAGTATAAAATGGATCACAAAAGGCTTTGGAATGCTAAACCTTAGTATATTTCAATAATCATGAAAGAACGTTTATGCTACGGTTATTGCTTATCTTGTAGTTGGTATGGCTTACCCGAAAAGACTACTGACTGCCCCGTAAACTGTTTTCGTATCGAGGATGAACTCGGACTCTTTTTTCCCATTTTATCGGTACATTGTTTGGAATGCGGTTACTTTTTTGATTATCTCAGTACAAATGGACTTGTACATAATACCAACTGTTCTGTAGTACCTAAATACAGTAAAAGACATGCAGTTGAAATAATTCAAAGGCGCTTTAGATCGTGGATGAAAATCCGAACAAATTCTGCCAAAATTATCCAAAGGGTCGTCGTTTCATGGCTTTATCATCCGAACGGACCAATCGCAAAAAAAGCTTCGAATCAATATTATGGTTTAGCTACGTCACAAGCTAAAAGTCTCACGGATTGTGGATGTTAATGCATCTAAATGATCAATATATAGCGGAATCATGTATAATTAATTATTCATTGAGATCATTGTTTATTAGTACAATTTCTTTAGTTTTAAACTCAAATGATTCATTCCCATGTATCCCCACAATTCTTTTTTTGTTTATTATGTTGAGACTACCCATGTTAGTATATAGTTACTATTCGACCTAATAAAAAAGGGGTATATCTGAAAAAATTACTTCGTATATGTATTTGCATATGGATACCCAGTAATTTTAAGTTGCACGTGCAATAAAAATGAATTACTTTATTATTACGAAAAAAAACATTGCCCGTAGTAAGCCAGATACAAAAATAAATTTGCGAAATACATATCGCTGTAAATACGAATAAAAAAATTCTAATTATTTATCCTCCTGTACAAGAATGTGGAAAACATCAGGAAGATCCCCCTTGAAATATTGAGAAATTGGTGACTGCTCTTTCATGACTCAGTATTTTACTGGCCCTGGATGATATGCACGAAGAAA